AAAAACCATTCGTTTGCCATGGTTAAGCCATTTGCACGGAAGGCATAATTATTCCTTTTTATTCCAGATTAATGATTTAGACTAACATCGTATATCCACCCTAACTTTACTTGAGAACAAATTGTGCGATGTGGGTATTATGTGTGACCAAAGTGTAATTTCAAAAATATAATTCTAGATAGGTTTATTCAAAATCCAAAACCTAAGAGTTCTACGGAAACTTTTGAATTTGAGGCATAGTTAGGATCCCATTCTAAAAACTTTTGGTTTAACCACTTCGAATTTTGACGTTGGCCTGGGTGAGCCACTAGTACTTAAGAATTTAATAAGGAGAGACTCGCTCGGGCTCTTAAACTTTTAGCCGCGGTAATCACCAGCCGTTACATCACTTGCATCACAAAAATTGGAGAAATTTAGATTTTTAGAAACAAAAATCCTAATTACCAACTGGAGAAATACGAACCAAATTACAGCGATCCGGCCCTTCTGACGCTACATTGCGTCTTTTATAGCAAGTATTTTATTTTGTTTATTTTATTTATAGCAGTGACGACAGCTCTTAGGACTCTAAACCTATAAACCCCTAATGATTCATTCATAAGCAAATATTAGCATGATCTCCACTTACGGATCTTGTAAAAAGACTTATGTAAATTTATTCCGGCACCGTCCATGCGACGTCTCTTTTCGACCTTCTGAGAAGATCGTTATTGCCTCTCATGTGTATATACAAAATCTAGGAAATATGGATTCTAAAAACCCACATTGGAATCAAGTTTCAGTGCTTCAAACAGACTCAACTGCGGATATTCCAATGCTCAAATTTATGATCCATTTAGGACGTACTCAAATCATTGAATTCAGATGTGCAAGTCTCTAACAATGGTTCTCATGACCATTTTGGCTTTGCAGCTGACCTGTGCATATTCAAGGTTTGGACAACCAGTCAATCACAAAAGGTGCTTGCAATTATTGATATGATCCCCGACAAAAACATCACTGATTTTAGTACGATTTCGAGCAAAGGCCCGAATGGCATTAATGCAAAGATACTCGCCGGCTCCAATATTCAATATTATGGGAGATTTAGGTGGGTTGGAGTGGGACTGTGAGAATTGCATGTGACTAAAGACGAGAGGGCTATTGATCCTGACAGTACTGTTTTTTTTTTACAGAAACGGGCAAGACGACGTGCTCGTTCGTTACTTTCAGCGGCTAATGTAGAACTCTTCATCATCCGTACCGCATGGGACACAGTAGAGAATCTTAGAATAATTTTATTATGTCTAAAAATTCATAATGTTTACAAAAAAGAAATTTCTTCAACCTTATTTCCTTCAATTTCCATTGTATTCTCCTTGTTTGTACTAGCAATTTCATTAGTTTCAATTTGTTGTCGGTCTTCCCCGCTCTTCTGCTCTTCGCCTTCAAGGCGAGGTTTTTCTACTTCTTCATCCTTTCTTTCTTGTGCTTTTTGAGAGGATTCCTTAGGTTCCTCAGATTGCTTCGATCCTTCATCTTCCTCTCTTTGTACAGTAGATTCTTCATCACATGTGATCCCTCGTTTCCCATGCGGACATTTGTTGCATTCGACTAGATTATTGTCATTTACAAAGCAGTCGCCATTGTCTCTGGAAAGTTGATAAATTAATGACCTGTAATTTTTGTATTTGAATCGTAAAATTTTTACGGTTATACTCTGTTGCGTAACGCGCT